CATTCCTGCAATGTCACTAAGGGAACAAAAACAACAAAAGTAAACCAGAGAAGAAAAACTGTCCTCACTCATTCTAATTCTTGAATGAAAAACTCAAAGATTCAGCTATTATTTTAATAGTTTTAAAATCAATGACAGTGAGAATTTTCTTTTAATATAAAATCATGATTAATGTGAAAAAAGTAGAAATCTCTATTATGGAATGTATGTACCTTTGTTCTACAACCAGTTTTTCATTATAAACCTTAAAATCTTAAATTACATTCACAGTAGCTATGTAATTATCACACAAATGTTATTTTCATCTTAGCAAATGTTCAAAATGGTGTAAGATGGCCTCAAACATATATCTACCACAAAATATTTTTTAAAAGCTTAATGAACTAAACGATGGCGTAAGAAATAAAGTGAATTCCTTAAATGCAAGTGTTTTTAAAAACTTCCCTCACAGTTAGCTTTCATAGTCAATAAACATGAACTACTCTAATCAGCTGATGCTTCTCATCAAGTATACAATCTAAATACTAGGGTTAAAATGCAAACCCACGCGTATAAAATCAATCTAAATGAGTTTAGTAAAAACTCAGCAGCAGCTTACTGGCTTCTATGATGAAAAGGAGCTTATAACCTAGTAAAACAGAGCAGGTAAGTCTACAACCAACGTCGGACGGGGCAGAAGGTAACTGCGAGCGGAGCTGGTGTCTGAGGCGCGAGATCAAACCCAGCTGGAGGTATGAGCTCGATGGGCCTTGCAGGCAATGCAGAACTGTAGCAACTACAACAGTGGGAAGAGTGGCTCTGACAGGAAGAGAATGGAGGAGGGGGAAGGAAAGTCCAGGAAGAACAATAAATATGATCAAAGGGCATGATGATGTGTTAAGCAAGAGGCGTGTTTGTGAAAAGAAACTGTCAACCTGGAAAGAGCAGAGGAGGGGGGAATGAGACCAGGAAGGTAACCGGGCCATGCTGTGAAAGGCCCTGGATGTCATGTAACTGTGTGGTCATCCTTTGGTAGGCAAAGCCCTTTGGTGGGCTTTAAAAATAACCGAGTGGGAAAATGTCCTGATTGGAAACATGCTTTTAAGAGCAGTAGTACACAAGGATATTCAGGATCAATTTACTCAACAAATATTCAGTATCTGTTATGGAGTAAGCAGTACTGAACAAAACAGATAAAATCCCTCCAGTGAATGGAGAAAAATAAATAAATAAAATTTAAAAATATATATACAGTATTTCAGATACTGCTCAGTTCTATGGAGAGAAATAAAATAGGGAAGAAAGCTAAGGTGTACTTGCAGGTAGGAATTTCAACTTTTAATATGCAGAAGGTAACACTTGGCCAAAGACCTACAGGAAGTGGGGAAATGAGTCGTGGAAATAACTGGTGAAGAGCAGTCCCAGTAGAGGGACCAGCAAGTGCAAAGAGCCTGAGGACAGAGCAGGCCCAGCCTATGAAACACAGGAAGGAATCTCCGGTGTCTGCAGAGTAAGCACAGGAGAACCTAGGAGGTGAGGACAAAGATTGACTGAAAAGTCCGACTGTGCCAGGCCTTACGGGCCATCGTTTAGGCATTCTCACTTGACTCTGAGCAAGGAGGAAAGCCACTGGCACATCTGGAGCAGAGGTAAAAATGGTCTGATGTACATTTTAACAATATCACTGAGAATAAACCATAGAAGATGAAGGGCAGAAGCGGAGAGACTACTTAAGAGAGCTACTACAGCAATACAAGAAATAACAGTCTGGGAAGAGGGGAAATAGGCAGTGGTGAGCAGAGGTCAGATTCTGGATGTATTCTGAAGGGACAGCCACATGGAATTAGAGGTGGTGTGTGAGAGAAAGAAAGGAGTCAGGGTTAATGTCAAGACTGACCGAATCTGGGAGAAATAAGGTATGAAGCAGAATGTTGCACTAACACAACAAACGCCCAGAACTAGAACAGTGCAGGTGGACAGTCCCAAAACAGAGGCAACGGAAAAGCTCTGGAGCTTCTCAGAACACGAATATGAAGTTGAAGGCCAGAGACTGCACTGAAAGGAACCTGAAGGACAAGCAAAAGATAAAAACAAAACGACTGACAGGGTACAAAGTGAGGGTACAAAGAAATTATATAACAAGAATTGGTGGTGAAATGAAACAGTAACCTTGTAAAAAAATTTCCTTAACAAAGCTTGACAGCCTGAGAACAGAAGATGCAAACAGAGGAACTTACAGGCAAAGCAGAACAATGGAAAACTAAGAGGGGGAGAGATGCTGAAAATGGTAGTGAATGCATTTTTTCATAAGGCTGCCTATGAGAACCAATCTGAATAGGAAAACAGGACTGGGAACCTCGGCCTGAAGGACTGGATGAGTCCTGAGACAAGAGCAAGTTCACTGTTCACTCAAAATAAAGATAGAGGAAAACATAAAAAGAACCGGTGGTTAGGGCAGAAAAGTGAATACAACATCCTGAGATGCTGAGCATGGAACAAAGACCATCCGAGTGAGGACAATGAGTTTCTGAAGTGAGAAGAGAACTCTGTAAAAGGTGAAGTTCTAAATAGTGCACATAAAGGGAGGGGAAGGAAACATGAGCTGGGTATAAAAGAACTCATAAAAAGGAAATGAAGAAATAAAATGGCTGATGGGGCAAGTGAGAGAAGGCAGCACCAAAGAACTGCAGCAGAGTTTAGAGCCAAGGAGAGGCCTGGTCCTCTGTCAGTCGGCAGGGGAGCGGCCCCCAGCAAACACCACGCACCCCATATTCAACATTTAGGTTCCTGTACTCGAGAAGATACATTCATTTCCTAGAACAGACAGACCAGTGAGCACCCCCCCCCTCCCTAATGCTTTTCCTTGGTTTACGTTTCAATTCTTTCACCATATATAAATACCCAGTTTGTAAAGAGATTCTGTGATTAGTATTACATTTCCAAAACAGTATCGGTGAAAATACGTACTTGTTAGGCTTTGGAAGTGCCCACCAAGACTGATACAAAAGGTCTACAGGTCTACTCCACTTGTCAGAGGCCTTAAATTCTCGCCCTTTTGTATAACCAAGAGGGTGTATTCTAAGGCAGGGTGTCTCAACTTCAAGATTGACATTTTGGGTGGGTAATTTTTGTTTGGGGGGGCTCTGACAAGTAGGGTAGACATATACACGTATAAAACGTGTCCTGCGCATTGTAATATGTTCGGCAGCATCCCTGGCCTGTTCCCACTAGATGCCAGTAGGCCCTCCCAGTCGGTACAGTCAGAACTGTTTCCAGACACTGCCACGCGTCCGCAGGGGGCAAATCACCCCTGGCTGAGAACCACTGCTCGAAGGATAACAAAACTTGGGAGAGGGGCACACAAAAGATATGAATGATTGTCATTTTCATGTAACTAAACATTCAAACATGCAGAATAGAACTGGTGAGCAAACCAGGAGTACAAGTGAGAAAGGAAGACGGGCGTGTAGCGACTCCTACCAGAAAAGTTTGCCAGCCTGTGCTTCCCCTCCCCGGATATAATGGATTATTTCTTTGGTGAAATTCCATTCTTCTTCTAACAGATTCTTTAAACTATGAGATGCTTGAGGTAACTGCTGTAGCATTTGGATCCAGCTTCTCATGTAATCAAAATATACCTTAAAATACAAAAATGTAAAAGGAGATATTTGAGAACAGAATTCAACAACCCACAACTCTCATCTCTGTTAACATGAAAGCTATAAATCAGAAGGGCGAGTGGAAGAGGGACCACTGAGGCATGAAGCTCTGAGAGAAGCGAGATTCTGCATCGCTGTTAACTGATGTCTAAACAGCATTTTTCTTCAATTGTATAACTCAACTCCTCAGCAATTTAACACATTATTCACAATTGCTGCAAGTTACTAAGAAAATAACTACAATATTTGCACTGTATAGAAAAGTACGACCAAGTTAAAAAAATCAAAATAGCATATAGAATTTTTCATTATTAATATATTGTGAATAACATTACTATAAGAGGTTGGGACCTTTATTTCTTTAATTACTTATTTTAACTTTAGATGGTATCTTACGTGTTAAGAGGAGGAAATGAGCACACTTCTTCCCACTATACCTTCCCAACATCCAGAGTTTTGTGATATAATTTTTCAAGGTTTATGACATATAGATTATGATCTATAACCAAAACACCCAATCCTTCTAAGGTGGGGTTTATGCCCACCACAAGTCCTAAATTCTTATCTTGATTTATCTGTTGCTTAGCAGGGTTTTACTATCAAGCAGGTTTTCTCAAAACAGGTTAACAATTGTTATATTATGAAACATCACTGTTTGTGGATTCTTTTACTGAAAGGATAACTTGACTGGGTATAAAATATTTAAGTTACACATTCTCTCCCTCAGAACCTTGAAGACGTTACTCCACTACCTTCTAACGCAGTGTGTCCTGTTAGTATAAAGAAAACCGATGCCAGACTAATCACCACTCTCCCAGCTCCCTGAAGGTGGCTTCCTTTCCCTGCTTACATGTTTACAGGACCCTTTCTCTAGTCTTGGATTTCAATTATTTCACCAGGCTACATCTCAGGGTTCACTGAAATGAATATTTTCGGAGATCCAACAATAACTTTCAGTAGGCAAAAATCTGTGGTCTTTATTTCAAGAAAACTGCCAATTATCTTTGGATAATTCTGGGTCCTCCTCCATCCAGGCTGTGCAGCATGAATCTCCAGTTCTGGGTCCACTATGAATACAGCTGTGTGTGTGGAACCTGCAACTTATGGGTCTATGACTATCTCATCCAAATGAAACAAGTCTTTTGTACAGCGGGCCCAGGACCTCCGTTTCCATTCCTGGAATGCTCCTTCACCTCCTTGGCTTCCCTGAAACCTGGCTGTCCTGAGAGCTGCATTTCTCCCTGACAACCCTCTCAAGGGACAACTATCTTACAGTATATCTCAAGGGCTGCAAACAGTCGGCATCCTCGTGCACCCCATTGCTACTTTCAAACCATCACTCTTACACAGTCTTACTTAAAAACAAAAGAAATACCCTACCCCTTTAAAATTGATGTCATCAGATCGACCATCGACGCCCCCTCTGCACACCATCATCTACTGATTTTCAACTACCCGTCAGTTGTCAGACTCCAGCCTGTGACTCAGTCTTCTCTCCATCCCAGGCTCAGCCACCAGCTGTGTGACTTAACATCAGGTGCACGACGCCCTGACACCATTTCAGTTCCGTACCCCCATGGCCTCCAGTTGCACCACCTTTTCTCCTCTCGGACAAGGTTTCGTCTCTGATCCTGCCAATACCAGAACCGCTCAAAGCCCAATGCAAACACACTGATGTTAACACCTCCTCTCCTCGCTCCAGTTTGTTTGCCCAACTCCCCCCTCTACACTGGGCTCTTCACTTTATCCGGAACTCCAGTCCACTGGTTCCTCTTCTTTCTCCAACTCACTCCTCTCTTCGCTGGGTCCCTGCCCTCCTTATGCAGCACTCCTGTCAGTACGCTCATGTCCCTGCCACCGTCCTACGCCCTGCCATTCCTGGAATGCTCACACTGCCTCTTCCCACCTGCCTTTTCTCACCTGCCGGTCAAGACAAGCCCAGCTCCCTTCTCCATCCGCACAGCCCAGAAGCTGAGGTCCACGAGTCACACGACAGGGGGGAGTCACCCGTCTACACAGTCATATCACCAACCACACGGCACACATTTCTGGTAATGCTTGTACCTCTGCTCAGCTCACTTTCCTTCTCTCTACCACCACAAGTCTGAAACTTCTCTTTTCCTCAAACTGCCAAAACCCATCCTAACCCACTCTCAGCAGATGATCTCGTCTCTCTTCACAAAAAAACTTTAAGTCATTAGATATAAAAGCTCTCATCGTCATGAAACAAATAACAGAAACCTACATGCTGTTACCTACCATCCTTCCCTTTTTCACAGTAGAGGAGCTGTGCTTCCTGCTAAGCCCAGCACTTGTGTTTTGAGATCCGCTTCCTCGTGATGCCCGAGGAACCTGACACCATCAGTCTTCTCCTTTCTCTTATATATATATATATATATATATATATATATACGTATGTATAACTGAATCACTTTGCTGTTCCCTTAACAAAATCAATGCCAAAGGCTTTCCAATGGTCTCAGGTATCTTCGATTTAAAAAACTCTCACTGGACCTACCATCTTCACTATTCATCTTGCTGCACAAACTGGACAGCCAGCAATCACTCTCGATACCTCCCCCATATCCAATCCATCCCCGAGCCCTGCCAACCTCACTTCCTTCGCTTCTTTCGAATCCTTATGCTTTTTCCTAAATTTATGCTATTCCACTGTAATCCAGGGACTAGCGTGCGCACCACTAGACTAGTCTCTGCCTGGTCTTCTCTCATTGACTCGGGATCCCCCCAGGCTGTTTCTCTAACTGCAGCCACAGTGGTCCCTTCCCAAGGCTTTCCTGGGAGCTTTCATTCCAAAGCTGCTTCCCTTATCCTGCATCATCACAGAGACTTTGCATCTGCTCCCTTCTCTGTCAGCAAAGTGGTCCTTTCAATCTCTCTCTCGCTCTTTTTTTTTTTTTTTTTTCCTTGCGTTATGCGGGCCTCTCACTGTTGTGGCCTCTCCCATTTGCGGAGCACAGGCTCCGGACGCGCAGGCTCAGCGGCCATGGCTCACGGGCCCAGCCGCTCCGCGGCATGTGGGATCTTCCCGAAACGGGGCACGAACCCGCGTCTCCTGCATCGGCAGGCGGACTCCCAAGCACTGCGCCACCAGGGAAGCCCTCTTTTTTTTTTTTAACTAAAAAGTAAAGTGGCTTTAAAATATTTTTACAAATAATAACCAGGATGAACAAATGTTAATATTTGGTCATATTGGCTTTGGATATTTTTTCGATGAGAAATAATACATCACAAAGTTAATTTCTCCTTGGGTTCTTTCTTCACTTCTCTCTTTCCTCCCTCCTCAGAGGTTACAATTACACATTTAGTATGTCCCCTTCTGGTTTATATGTTTTTTTCAATAATTTGTTATTACACAAATTACAAGATACAGTATTGTTTTGTGTAAGCTTTCAAATTATTACTACATAAATTGGATTATAATACACACAGCAACTTTCAGATAAATTCCAACTGTCCCTTCCTGAGAGACTTGCCTCACCGCCACATGAACTCAGACCTTACTGTGAGAGTCCATAAAAGAGCCGTGTCTCTCCTTTGCTGTTTTTCACCATTGTAATGTTATGTCTGTAGAATTACTTAACAGTCATTTTCCCCATCGTTCTTAAACTCCAAGAGGGCGTTTATGCTCCTTACTGAGCCTTCAGTACCAGGCACGATGCCTGCCTGGCACACAGCAGACACCCAATAATATCTCTAGAATATGGAAAATTGAGTCTTTTCTGCTCCTTTGTTCCTTTATTCTTCTATAGGAACACTAACTGTGCAAGTCTGAGCTCTCCCTTGTGTGTCTCCTACAACTATCACATCTTGTTCATCATTTTCATATTTTCACTCCTTTTAAGTTCTTTTTATGTGATTTCCTTCAACCTGTCCATCGCATGTTCCTACGTCACATATTATGTTTACTGTTTTCGTTATTTCTAAGGCCAGGCCCAGGGCCAGGCCCAGGGCAACGAGCCAAGAAAGCTCACAGCTTCAATTTGGTTGTGCTGTGGCTCAAACACACACTCACCAGTTACTTCCTTGGAAGTAACTGCATGCGTAAGTTCCTCAGTTTTTCGAGTCAGAAGGATGATGCAGCACAGAGTAAAGACCCCTCAGTCACAGATATCCTGCATCATCACTTGCTGATCACTGCTTCCCCTCGCCCTTTTAACCCATCTCTCACTCGGCGGTCTTCCCCGGCTTACAGGATAGGATACTGTCTGGCAGTATGTCCTCTATGGGGGCATATGCCCTGCTGCCTCCTGACCATTCACACCCCAAGAGACCACAGCTCTCACTCGCCGTGGACGGGCCCTCCGCATCTAAAGGAGGGCAGGTGGAGCAATAAACAACGTGACTGCCTCTCCGAAGGCCACACGCTCCTTCCTTCCTGACAAAAACACTGACTTTGTTTGGGCTCCACCAGTTTGCAAAATAGGCCCCTCCACTAATCCATCTAGCACACTTTGGGGCACAATTGTAAAACTATTGATGATTTCTAGTTCTTCATCTGTGAAATTGTGGAGATGAACTAAGGCACATGATGCCTCACACAGAAAGCTGGTAGCAGAGTCAAAACTAAATCCTAAGCATTTCTAGCTCTAACTAGCTGAGAATTTTGGTACTTCCCTTAACTGAGCTTCTGACATCTCACAGGCACACCGAGGGCACTGGAGGTGGATGACCTGGAAGGCACAACCTAATCTCACCCTTCCTGCCTCAGCGATCACATGGTAAAAGGCGTGGCGTGCGCCTCTGTAAAGCCATCTAAGACAGTTTGGAAAGCAAAGCACATTTTGTCTTTTTAAACTTCTGGTTTAATCATCCACAGAGAGAAAAATTAATTTCCTTGCTGTTTTTTACCATAACTCTTCAATGATAAAGACTTTTCTGACATAAGCAATATATACGGTATTTCAAAATGTAGCCACATTTTACACATTCTGGTCTTTTATGTATTCTCCCAAACGATTAGGAAATCATTTCAGACTCAAAATTATTTCTCGTAAGATGCCAGATGTAAGTCCCTCCCCAGCCACACTCTTCTTTCTCTCCTTCTACTACAGAGGCTGAAAGGCTAAATCTTTGCATTCCCAGCCTCCATTACAGTGAAGAGGCCACACAAAGGTCTGGTCAGTAGGATGTAGGGGACATCTGTTGGGTGGGGCTTCCAGGAGAGCTTTCGCTGTTCTGGACTTAGCTGGCAAGGAGACTTTTCCCCTCTGCCTTTCTCTTTAGAAAGTGAGGGTGGTGTCTGGAGGTGCTGCAGCCATCCTGAGGCAGGACACAATGAGATGTCAAGCAAGGGTGAAAGCATTCCAAAAACAATATGCCTACAAGCTTTGCTGTTTTCTATATTATTTCACCAACCTGCCACATTAAGTAATCATCTGTGCATATACCCTAATGACTCTAACATGGATTTACTATGTACTAACACTCCACCAAACCTTACAGAAGACAAAAGCACTTCATTCACAGCCCCTGGCTTGTGCAGCTTTCAGGCTAATTAGGGAAACCTGAGGACAGAGAGGTGGTACATCGCTAAGTATTAAATAGTGTGGTTATGATTAGAACCCTGTAAGAGTTCAGAGAAGGTACAGATAGATGCACATGAAAGGTGAAAAGCGTCAGACAAAACTTGAAAGTAAATCTTCAGTGGGCAGGTAAGGAGGAGAGAAGACATTGTGGGCAGGAAGGAACAACCGGTGCGGAAGTACAGAGGCTAGAAGAGCGCAGGGAAGCACGGCGTGTGTGACAAGACACAAGTCAGACATCTCTCCCCACTGTCCTGACCATCAGCATTTTGTGCAGATCCTCCTCGAAGGCGTCGATGTTGCAGTCGGTCTCCTCCAGGTGCTCCAGGACCTCGTGCAGCATGAACTGGTAGTACTGTTTCATCAGGAGGCCGCCCTTCAGCACCTCCTTACACTCTCTCACCAGCTGCAAGACAACAGGCACAAGTGCTACCATTTCACACATTCTGACCAGATTATTTGTCGGTTTTCACACATTTTCCACGTAAATCCTCAAAAAGCTCAGGAAAGAGACTTGCCTCTGAAAACCCTAAAATATTTTCCAGATCCTTTGTCAGTTCATTTCACATAAATATCTCAGTAATCTCAACTGAATAATTAAAATAAAACAAATCAGTGAACACAAAAGTATTTAACAGTATAGCATGAATACACAAAGAAAAATATACAGGCAGAAAACTGATTTGCTAAAATACATTGTTCTACAAATAAATTTGTATAGAAAATAAATTCTACAGAAAAAGATCTATTTTTCTACTAGTTTACATTACAAGACAAGGGATACAAGAGAAAAATTTCCTCATGAGACTGGTCATTTTTAACCAAAAACATAACAAAGATTCAAATATACTTATATACCACAGAGCCTGGTGGCCTTTGTAATAATTCAGCAAAGTTTACCTACCATGATTTGTGGCTTTTACCATCAAAAAACTCAATCACAAAAACAAACAAACCTAAGATTAATCTGGTAAACTTAAATGGAAGTCAAGGGGGGAAAAAACGAAAGAAAACAAAAGGATGAGTGAAACCGCCAGGTGTAGGCCCAGGAGGTACTGTGAGAAGGGAGGAAAGGTGCAATGAGAGGACCTTTACTGTCCTTCTATCAATAACACGCTGGTCACACGCCCTCAAATTCTAACCAGCAGGGACTGTGAGACAAGATCACAGTTGCACTAGTTTTAAGATACATTATCAAGACACAAAAGGAACCACGGTGCTGCTGCAGGGAAAATAAACTGGTACAAACTTTCTAGAATCTAAAAATGTATGACTCACTAGTTAATTTTTACGTTTTATACTCAAGCAATAATCAGAGGTGCAGACTAAAACTTACATACAAATATATTTATCACAATATTATTCAAAATAACGAGTATTAAATAAGTTATGATGCACTTATACGGTAGAACACTAATGCAGCCACTTAAAATCTTATTTCTGAAAAGAATTTATGGATGAAAACACATATTCTTTTCTTTCTTTGTTATTTTAAATTATATGTGCAGAAAGTATGTACATACAGAAAAATAAATGGATAGAAATACACCAAAATGTTACAGTGCTTATCTCTGAATGGCAGAATCATAGGATAACTTTCATTTTTATCTATCATTTTCCGTACTTTTCAAATTTTCTAAAATAAACATGGACTGCTTTTACGACAAGATCCCCTTCAAAATGTTTTTAAAATAATTACCCACAGTAAGAGAGCAATGGCTAGAGTTAAATCCATTAAAAAGTGTTAACATAAATTTCTGTTAAAGATGTCACTTAGGTGCTTACAATTCAATCTGAATGCATTAAAGCCAAAATTTCTATTTTATTTTTACTCTAGTAATGCTATCTTAATCTAAGTATTGGTTTTTTACTTTTCAAAATGTTTTAACATAAATTACTGTTTAATCCTCACAACAGCCCCATTAGTAAAAGGTAAACTCCCCCTTGTTTCAGCAGCTTATGTTCCTGAAGTATGTATTTGTTTTGTGGGGAGGAGAGGTTAAGAATTTTACCAAAACTTCCTAAATAACCGCTACAACATGCAGGACAAGTGAAAAGTGTGGCCCAAGTGGACAGTAGGACAGTAACTAGAACCAAGATGGTGAGAAGGGAATAGTGCGCCGGTGGACGCAGAGCTCGGGCTGTGCTGGATGCGAACTGAAGCGACGACGGTGAGGTGCAGGACTCCACCTCCAATTCCATTAGTCGCCCGGCTCCACACCTAACTTAACCAACAGCGTCAAGTCCTATTTCGTACCTCTCGCACCGCCTGTCCTTCAACTTGCACTCATCCCCTCTGCCCATCCTGTCATTCAGAGCCAAGGAGCTCCTAGCCCTTCAAACTCCATGGGGACGGACAAGCACAGTCCACAAAAAACATAGTAACTGTTTTTCATCAAAATTTGAAATGGTCGTTTTATATAGTGAATGTCAATACGGTAATATCATAAGGCATAAATATAAACGCTCTTCAGCACACACTGTGGTAGATACAACTGCTTCTAGCCATTTCTCTGTTACCCTTGGAGTAGCAAACTCACTAGAAAATCCCGCCCCAAATTAGTAATAATTAAGAAAGCAGAAGTTGTCATTGTGGCTTAAACCATACAGGTGCCTAAGCAAGCAAAATGGCCACACTCATCCCACCCCTGCATACTGCAGGCATTTACCTGCTTACATAACAACAACAACAAAAATTTAAGAATTTAAACTATCTCTTATGAATGAATTTTAAGTTTCCAGTCTTCAAAGACTGATGGTAATAGGATATAGAGGGTCATATCAGCACCACACTTTCATAACCTTTTCGAATGAAGAAGTGGAAGATAGAGAGGTGGAATCATCATCTCATCTTTGAAGAATGCATGGAAAAAAGAACAATTAGGGGGAAAATCCTAGAAATAAAAATGCTGAGTCTACAGAAAAATGTCATAAATGCTCAATATTTTTAAACAGTCTTTGAAACAAACCTGCTTAATACTCAAGAGAGATGGTTCTCCAGCAGGTCTCTGTTCCAACCTTAACTTGAGACATTCATGTATGACATTCAGAAGGACTCGACAGAGGACCAGGAAGGCAGGTTCGAATGAGGGTAAATCCATGGACTTCAGCTCATCCCACGAGACAGCGCTGCATTTCTGCTCCGAGGAAGGCGGCGTCCTGGACAGCTGCACGTAATCAGAACCCCACGTGGGATCCGGAAATTCAGAAAACTGTAACACAAATTCAACAAAGCTGAAAAGAGCATCCAGGAGAACTTGCTACAGTTGTAGTTATAAACTAGCATTCTGTATAGTTTGCTGACAAACCTATAAAAATCATAATTTTACAGGAAAAATAATCTTTAGAATAACTCACCATTTTCAACTAAGACCTGAAAAGCTCTAAAAGTATTAGAAAACCATAACAAGAACTAAAATGAAACTGTAATACCTTTATCAAAAAAGTATAGTAGGAAAAGAATCAAGTTCACCTTTTTCATCATACACTTTGCTTATCGTACCTAAAATAATCGGAGCATTTAGTTTTAAGGCTATACACAGTATTATCCACAACTATCTCTAGACTGACAAAACCAGAGAATTATTAAATTTGAGAAAAGATTACAAAACCAGGTAGTCATTTGTGTAAACATAAAAACTAGTGGGTTTAACCAAGTCCATTTGTTCTCCTGAGCTATACCAAAGGAGGCTGAAAGAGAAAAATTCATAAAATTAACCTGGCTGGTCCCACTCAAATATATGTTATTTGATGTTTTCTAGGAATCCTACTGTTGCTCACCCATTCATACAGTCATCCCCACCAAACTCCTATGCTTTTCCCCATAAAACAGAAGATTTGGAGATTTCTCAGTGTTCTTAAACCTCTGGCAACATCATCCTGACCAATCATTCAAAGGTCTTGCCTTCTCCTTCTATTGAGAAAACTGAAGCCATCAAAATTTGAAAATCTCAACTTTTCTTCAATTTAAAACATCACCAATTTAGTTATTGTGTCTCCAAATGTCACTCATATCTGTGCTCCCTGACATTTAGTGAACACTTAACTGGTCTCCCCCACTCACATTCTTTTATGTTCAACACATATTTTGGCATTTAAATTAATACATACTTTAGTTTCCCATAACAGGCAAGAATTTCTAAAATAGCTGCATAATTTTAAAAATGATTACTTGTGATAAATGTGGTCAGGGTTAAGACATGTCTGTTTAAAAGCTTTAGGCAGTATAAATGCTTGTTTCTTCTGGTGTGGAGAATGACATCAGATAAAATATTTATTTAGAGCTCTACAAAATTCAGCAAGCTTTCTAGGATAAAATTCTAAAGAATTCTTTCGGCATTCTCTGTAGTTCCAGCCTGTTGACCCATCTGCTTCAGGCTAACTGGGAAGGGACAATCCCTCCTTCTCAACAACTGCAAGCCAACACTGCCTGGAGAACCAGCAGCCAAGGCAGGCCTACACAGATGCCGAGGAGACACATTCCTGCTTCTCAACAACTGCAAGCCAACACTGCCTGGAGAACCAGCAGCCAAGGCAGGCCTACACAGATGCCGAGGAGACACATCCCTGCTAGTGTTGCCTGGGGCGTCAAGCCCCATCCAGACAAAGAGGAAAAGACATTAAAAAACTCGTGAGCATGGAAGAGGGGACAGCAGTTTTAACTAGGGACACCAACGTGAAGAATCAGAAAAGCTGACAGTGACTGAACGTAGGACACAGGAGAGAACAACAAAAATACTCTAACGCAAGATCTCATTAGTCCTCTGGGGGAAAAAAAAAAAAAAAGACCAAGATTTCTGAAATAAATTCCATAAAGGGAGTGAAAACAGAATGAATGCTGTCAAAGTCTGAATTAATAATTTAGAAATTAACTGCAGAAATGATCACTGTAACCCAGAGCAAAAGAAAAAGGAATAGAAATTTTGAGTGAAAAGTAAGAGAAATGGAGGGCAGATCTAGGAGCTGTAACGTAAGAATAATAGGAGTTCCAGAAAGAACGAAAGGAAGAGGTGGAGGATACCTTTCTGCACAGTCAAGGTATCACTAATACGTAAGGAAGAGGGAAAAAGACCTCTTTGAATAGGGAAGAACCCGAAGTACAATTCATTTACCTTCTCTAAAAAACTACCTGAGGAAGAACAGGAGAGTCTGGTCAAATGAAAACTGGATCAGAATAAAGATCTCGAGATAGAAAAAGAAAAATGCCCAAGGAAATGAGAAGCCATGAATCTCGAAGAACGTATACAGGCAGATATAACTCCACGATGATAACTTGGTTAAGGACTATAATTCAAGTTTTAGTAAGGAATACTGGAAACTGAAAAAAATAAAAAAGCATACCGTGAGGAAAAACCTGGATCTTAAGCTCGCAATTATCTTAATAAAACACAGGGAGAGAGGAAAGGGGTAATAAGGTGCAAGAACGGCCTATTTGTTATTCTTTCATTCCAGTAAGAAATATAGTATTAAATGTAGTATAAAATCCCTGAACAATCCAATCAAACTGAAAAGACTCAATAATGTAGGGACATTAATAAAAACTCAATGTAATTACAATCATAATCGCAATGGCATTTTGTGTGGGTTAATAAATTCATTAAATAAAGTTCAGGTGTAAGAAAGTAATGTACAAAAATAAAAACAGCCCAGAAACTTCTGAAAAGAAAGAATGGGAAGAACTGCCCTACACAATGCCAAACCTTACTAATAGACCTACTGTATTTAAAACAGCAAAGTTCTGGCACAGTAATAAACAGAGCAACATAACAGAGAAACATATCCAATTACCTATGATAATTCAGAATATAAAAAAGGCAGTTCAAGGGCTTCCCTGGTGGCGCGGTGGTTGGGGGTCCGCCTGCCGATGCAGGGGACACGGGTTCGTGCCCCGGTCCAGGAGGATCCCACATGCTGCGAAGCGGCTGGGGCCGTGAGCCATGGCCGCTGAGCCTGCGCGTCCGGAGCCTGTGCTCCACAACGGGAGAGGCCACAACAGTGAGAGGCCCGCGTACCGCAAAAAAACAAAACAAAACAACAACAAAAAAAGGCAGTTCAAGAAGTTGAAAAATAACAGATAATCCAATGAGTATTTTAGGGAATTAAATAGAATAGCTACATCCTTCCCTTACCCTACACACTTATGCCTCACATTATTTTTTTTAATTAATTAATTAATATTTTTTTGGCTGCGTTGGGTCTTCGTTGCTGCGCGTGGGCTTTCTCTAGTTGCGGCGAGTGGGGGGCTACTCTTCGTTGCGGTGTGCAGGCTTCTCAGTGCGGTGGCTTCTCTTGTTGCGAAGCACGGGCTCTAGGCGTGCGGGCTTCAGTAGTTGTGGCACGTGGGCTCAGCAGTTGTAGCGCGCAGGCTCTAGAGCGCAGGCTCAGTTGTTGTGGCACACGGGCTTAGTTACTCCACGGCATGTGGGATCTTCCCGGACCAGGACTCGAACCCGTGTCTCCTGCATTGGCAGGCGGATTCTTAACCACTGGGCTACCAGGGAATCCCAAGCTCACATTATTACAATTAATCATTTTTTAAATTTTATGGCTATTTTAGAAATTTTTGCCTGTTATGAGCAACTAAACTACAGTCATCCCTCAACGTCCATGGGGGATTAGTTTCAGGACCCCCTGCTGATACCAAAACCCCTTATATACAATGGCACAGTATAGCCGGCTCTCATTATCTGTGGGGTCGCATCCATGGATTTCAATTTGATCTGTGGTTGACTGAATCCATAAATGAGGAGCCAGTGGATATGGAGGGTCGACTCTAAGTATTAATGTAAATACAAAAATATATGTTGAACCTATACATTTTGAAAAAGATTCCAAATGTTTTGGAACCTAAACACAGAGCTATGCCTTAGGTTAAACCATATAAAATTACCATTTTAGTCAATCAAAAATGATCAAGTAGTGGCAATTTGACAGGTCAACATGATAAAAAGATTTCTGAAAAGACAGTGATGACAGTAGGATTTCAATTTCCCTTAGTTCCCCCACAAGGACAGAACAACTAAGACAACAAAATCAAAACTCCATGAGACACATTTACAATAAAACTAGGTGAAAGGTAACTTCATGAACCCCAAAATAGAAAGGGGGAGGGAAACAGTCCCTGGACCCATGTGATACCTCATACCCACACCCCACACCCAACCAGTACCCCAGATCCCTATCAGCATTTGTGCAGGGGAAACAGAGGGGATTAACGGAGTGTCTGATGGGGCTAAAGGGACAAATTCCAAAATTACCAATGAATACTCAATAGAAAGCTCACTGCTTCTATTTGAGGGCTTCCTGACACTGGGAATGATTGTGGCACCAATTCCTGAGTGAAGTCAATGGGTGGGCAATGAGGTCTGAAGGGGCTAAAGTGGTTTATACCCCCAAAACTCTCAGCCAAAATTTCCTTCCAGGACAAAGCTCCACACCCAGAAGAAACTGCTGGGGTGAAATCCAACTGACCAGTAAAGGACAACAGAGGTAAAGGAAAGAGAAGGGCCAGAAAAAGGGGGAGAGGAACACAGCCAGGAGACCTCAAAAAATAAGAGATGTATTACTTATCAATTCAGAAGAGAGAACTTAAAGCATAAACCTAAACGCTTTCCTAACTCTCTCTTTTCTTAAAGTTCACAAAAACAAATATCATGTTTAAAAATGAACAAGAGAAAAGGATTGTGTTAGAATCCAATACATGGTTATTTTAAGGAAATAACTGTGAGAGAGAATAAGCGAGAGAACTGAGAGAGAATAAGGAGCTGAATAACCCTACAGACAATGAACGCATGCCAGAGAGACATGCCCACTAAGCAGGTGAGACAGGGACCTGATTCTCAAAATATGCTAAAAGAAATTTTTAAAATCTCAGAAAATATAAAAGAACGACACAAATTTGAATTAGAAACACTCACAAACCAAGTGAAAGAACTCAGAAAATAATTCTTCAAAAATTGTACATCATTTCAAAAATAAAAAGCTAGATGGAACACAAGAGCAAATAAAAAGAGATAATGCCTTCACAGAAATATGAGGAAGAAAATTTTTTTTAAAAAAAGGAAAAGATTTGAAATGAAGTGAGAGAGAAGATAGGCAAAGTAGATCCAGAATACATACAGTAGTGGTTCCCAGAGAAGAAAACCAAACCAATGAAACAGAAAAAATTAAAACATAAAGACATTCACTTGAATCAAAAAAAAAAAAAGATAAA